CGTAGCATTTTAGAGTGATGAGTTCCTCCCCACCACTTCCCGCCATGCCCCCCTCACCCGCTGGCTTGGCGCCGACGGAGGGCATTCCTATGGTGGCTCAAGCGGTGCTACATCGTGAAATTCTCCATGTACACGCCTCTTTGGACCTCATTCACCCTCGCGATTCTTCACACCCGTTTGGCGATACTTTCCCCGGTCCAGCTTCGTGGTTTGGACTCCGCCATTCGACAGGCGATGCAAGTCACCCACACCGCTTTGCACTACACTCACGAGCTGACGACCACCTTCGGCGTGATCCACACTCTGGATTTTGACACTGATCAATTGGAAGCTGAACTACGTGGTTTCACTTTCGAGACCATCGCATTCCTCACCCAGACACCCGTCCTCCCTCCTCTTCGACGACGACTTTTTCACCTCCACGCCGGGCTACGACTTCTTCCACACCGGGCTACGACCTTTTCATGACTTCCCTCCATCGCTCTGACTCCGGATCACAGCCTCGTGTGACGACCTCTACTACCCGACCACCTCTTGACAAAACGCCATGCTTGACGGTTTGGTTCACACGTTGACCAGCTATCAGGTCGTAAGAGCTTCCCTGAGGTGTCTTTCAGTTTGTTTCACCATACATATCTGCTACGCCCCAGCTTGGAAACAATCACCCACTGGTTTCTCATGTTGTTCATTTTTCCGGCCTCATGCTTTTGATTCCACGATTTCCTCCGATGACATGATTTCACCAGTACACAAAGACTTTTTTACATGTTTGTTTCCCACAGCCATTCAGCTCTCTCCCCATAATCCGTTACTGAATTCTCATCGATGATCTCTTCCCCTGGACTTCGTGTTCCGGAACCTTTGACTCAGCTCATTTCCACTGATTGGCGAGAGGTACCTCGCCACTGTACGCTTTGAGTTGGACATAAGTCTCTTGGTTTACCAGCCTTTGAACTACATCAGGCGCCTTTAGTTAAAGGCCAGAAATCAAACTCCACGACGCGACGAGCCGACGGGATGATGGCGTACCGTGCGTGACTGCAGATGCATTGGCACTTTACCAAAAGATTAAAATTTGCGCACAAGTGGTTGATCAGACCACTCATCCACCGAAATGCCATAGCTTCGTTGGACTGGATAAGCAAATCGGCTCCAGTCCCCCTGCTAAAAGCAATTCAAAAGAATCCCTGTGACTACAAAGGGCACACACACACAGACACGCCTCCCCCCAAAAAAGGGGTAGGCTGTGAGGGGAAGCTTCAGTTCAGATATGGCATCATCGTGTAGACGGGGAGCAACCGTGTGTAGTGGTCGAAAAGGGAAATGTGTGGATTCCCGTGAGTATTCATGGGAGGTGCCAAGAACTCGAAGACGACGGGAGTTGACATAGTATAGAACCAAGTCTTCAAGGGCGCAGGTGTGTGGTACTTCCCAGACCCGGGAATCGCCAGTGGAAGGAAGGGCCATCCAGAACGCAGTGCGTTGCTCAACCGTGTATTCTTTGGTCTCAATCTGGGCTGTTCAGGATTTGGTTTCTTAGGCTGGCGTGTGGCACCGCTGTCAAGTCAGTATGCAAAATCATAAATGTGTCTCTCCCAGTGAGAGTCCAGGGTGAGCCCGAGGAGTGCCCCTGTGGACCCGTCGAACGGGTGTTAGTCCATTGTTCCCCTGCCTGGGAACGTAGGTGTCCGAAGCGGACAGCAGGAGGCTTACGCCAAAGTTATTTGCCAAGACTGGTTGAAGTCTTGAGTTCCAAGCTGGCTCATGCCTTTACGTGACCGCAGCGGTCCAAGCAGCCAGCCACTTTGGCAGGGCACAAGGTGACCACAGCGGTCAAAGTACTTTTGAGGTTCGGTGGAACCTGTTGGAGCCGTAGCACTTTAGAGTGATGAGTTCCTCCCCGCCATGTCCCCCTCACCCGCTGGCTTGGCGCCGACGGAGGGCATTCCTATGGTGGCTCAAGCGGTACTACATCGTGAAATTCTCCATGTACACGCCTCTTTGGACCTCATTCACCCTCACGATTCTTCACACCCGTTTGGCGATACTTTCCCCGGAGTCATAAGTTGTCTTCGGAGGTCTCCAAGTTTTTGTCGACTTTTTCAAAGCAGGGGAGCGGTTGGCATACTTGAAGTCACCGCTCAACGAAGACACTACAGTTTTGCTGTGATATGATCACCACCTACTTCCTTTTGTGGCCCCGTTGTCACTAGAACAAGAAATTTTCCTTTGCATCGGTTTGTCTTCCGCAGTCACGTGTCATTTAGAATCTGGAGACGTGAGAATTCTAGTTTGTCTTGTTCGTTTTAGGGTGATTGAACACCGCTGCATAGGTTAAGAGGTGCCCTGGTTTACTCAGCCATTTTTTCTCATTCACAGGAAGCGATGCAGTCCATGCGTACAAATTCCTCTAGTGTGCGGGTGATTTGCAACCTTTGCAATATCGAGAAACCGACGAACCTGTGGATTTTGTTCCTGTGTCTTGTTGCAAAGTTTAGCACGACTTGGCACAAGGTGGGCATTGATGTGATGCTCCAAAAAGGATCTAAAGTCATGAGCATCAATTGAAGTTTAAACTTTTGAACTATATAATGCAAAGGAAACGTCTAGGGCCCAAACTTTCGCACTGATGCACTGATGTCAAATAGACAGAATTCTTGCATTCGGTGCCTCAATTTCAAGTCGACAGCCACCTTCCCGTATCAGCTGTCTACTTATAATGAAACAAAGAAAACTGCACATGTTGGGCTCATAGCTTACTTAGCACAAATGTGGATGAGGCACAAAACTCACGATTGTCACAGCGATTGCAGTCTTTGGAGCACGGCTCGCAGGTTCTGCCTGACGTTGCTGAACGGATGAGGCAATGGTGAGGTTTGCTCTCCGTATCAAAGAGCGTGCAGCGTGCAGTTTTGCCATCGTCCCCCAACTGCAAGCATCGCATATAAAACAGGTCTTGGTATGTCTTAGTCAAGAAAAGCAACACGCGTATAACAACAACGCGTCTAATCTGAAACGCAAAAATACCAACGCGTTCTACTTTGCGTCACTGGATCCGAGTCTCCAATGGCTTGGTCCCCTTCACCATAGTAGCTCAGTGGGCATACATCTGCACAATCCTCCACAACAAAAGGGTAACAGGGCAACATACTCCTCTGGCAATCCATCCACAACAAATTAGCACCTTATGCCTAGAGCACTCTACAACCGCAGTTACAATCTGACTCAACTCCAAAGAAATGTGCACTGACGATTCGTGACGATGGCTGTTTTTGCCTGAGACTGCCTGATTCTGCTAGTGAGTGATTCTGTCAATCTCTAGTTCCACGCCCAGCCTGCGTGGGAGTGAGGTACTTGTCATTCTTGCACTCCAAACACCTTCAATGAACATGAAATTGAGGACCGTGGGGATTCCTAGAAGCTTGTTCAAAAGGCTGCGTCTGAGTTGCTCTGTCGAAGTTTGGCACTTGTGGCAATCTTCCATGCATGGTTGGCATGTCCGTCCAACAACTCCAAATCCTTCGTGGAAAAAGCCATGCCCGCAGTCGCCTCGAAATGTCCAGTCATATTCAGCCACTCTGCTTCAAAAACACTGCTGAACCCCTCGTTTGCGATGCATTCACCCACACTTTATCGCGAACTTGCTGCAAGAAATGGTAGTCTCTGTATTTCCGTGGAGATTACATAATTACATAACTAACTTTATTCTTAAACCCTGTCCTATACAATACTACTGTATTTGAAAAAAAAAAGCAAATCCCTCTGCTCTTCACAAACGTAGATAGTTGCAGGAATTCACCGAGTATAGACCTGAATTTATAGGCCTTGCTTCCAAAAATGTGTCCTTTCTTCAATATGTGATAAAGCCACGCATTGAAATGCGCGGACAAATGCAGCAACTGTTCTCTACAGCCTTACTTTACGAATACAAATTGTTAATGTAATACAGAAGACCACATCATGACGACAAAAGAAAGAACAAACCCACATAATTTCAGAGGAACACATTTGTAAGTTTGCACTAATGTAAGTTTTTTTAATTAAATGGCATAGTTACTCCTGTAGAAGGTTTTCTTGGATTGGATATCCTGTAAGTACCGTATTGAGTGGTTTGTTCCTTTAGGTCGTTCTCTTGATAGGGTGTCATTGTCCGGCAGATTCCGTTCAATGTCTTGGCAATCCTGCCATGCCCTTCCTTGCATGCGTACATAATGTCATGGCCCTCCGAATGGATTTACTTCTGCAAAAAGATGCATACAGTATCTGAGCGTCCTCCAAAGCGTCTTGTCAATGAAGAGGACATGATTCAACAAGGTTATGGTTTGGAGGAATCTGCAGCCATGCAAGCAGGGACCAGCGCAAAACAGCATGCGAATAAACCAAAATACACCAAACAAAAGAATAGCATAGAGAGAGGGAGAGAGTTGCACATTTAGTCAGGAACACAACAAGATCTAAACCAAAGCAATTTAGAAAACATGAGCTTGTGTGAAGGTTGCCTCCGGAACACACATAGAGAGACTTCAGGGCGTGGTTTGAGAAACCAACACAAGATTCTGAGTGGCCACGGGCGTGGAAAAATGCCTTCGTCGATGCGACGGATGTGATAAGGGAATTCAGGATGAGAAGGAATAAAGCACAAAGAAAATGAGATCGGACAAAACATGGGAAAACGAACAATTTGAAGTAAGAGAGCACAAAAACAAACATAAAGTGGAAAGGAAAACGTGAAAGGAAAAACGAGGCTCGGTGATACCTGCACTTTATGAGAACTAATGCGATGAGAACGCTGGAAAGGCTGGAGAAGGCAAGTGGTTGGTGAAGACTGCAAAGACGTGTGCCAAAAAACATCAAATCGGCCAGTTAATTTAAAATAAAAATGGCCATGTGATCACATGTAGAGGTAGGACTATGCAAACACGGCTGACCTGCAACAGAAAGCCCAAACTCAACGCGCAATTGAAAGCCACAGTGAAAACAAGTTGGGCGGATGATGGGTATCATGGCCCGGAGTGACAAGAACTTGGGCAAGACAAGGCCTTTCAAAATCACAAACGTAACCCCAGCAGTCTTGCTATTACAAAACCGTGGGCCACCTTCTCTCATAGGCCATATCAACTCTGATCTGTCTCCTTGCTTACCCTCACGTCCTGCTTTCCATATTGTTCTTCACTTTTCTTGCTGTTTGGCGTTGTTGCTGGCGCCATCCTTTTTCATGTTCGCTTCCGTGGCCCGGACAAGTCAAGACAATGCAGCAGTGGCAAACAAAGTGCCAATCACATGTAAGGAGACAAGTCAAACAAGGAAGCAGTGCAGCAAATGACCAAAACGCAAACCAGCCCCCAGTCATTGAGAAGCAAGAACCCCTATACCTTTCAGCTATCTGGGAGCAAGGCTGTATCTTTTAAATTTGTTCAAAGTGAAGACCAGGGTAAATATAGGGTCCAGACTTTCGCACTGCTGCTCTGCTGTCAAATAGAGCGAATTCTTACATTCGGTGCCTCAATTGAAGATTGGAAGAGAGCCGGTGCATTCAGCCCTAGGAGTCATCCACTTGTGGCTTCTCGTGACTTTTCAATAACAAGGGAAGCTGCAACGAAGGCCATTCTCGCAGGTGTTGCAGTGTCCTGGGCATTGGAGACATACCCTGTGCACGTCTCCTTAGCCGGCGCGTTGTGAATTTAGTTGGAAACTCAAGGTTCCCCAGTGCACAAATCAATTTGACGCAACAAGCATTGAATATGTGCATGATCAGTGACGAACGTCTTGTGTGATGTGGGTGCAAGAACCCTACAGACTTCTGACTTCTGCGAGGCTGATTTGTTCACGCAACCAGTCCGCCACAACAGTTCATGAACACCAGCTTTTGATTCGTTGTCAAAATGCTCATGTGGTCAGTGTTAATTGTTCTCACACACACACATATATATATATATATATATATCAAACGACTCCTGTTGCATCGAGTAAATATGCGAGTGATCGAACAAGGTGTTGTACGAGACATGAAACGCTGTTGGCAGGAATTGTTTCGCTCGGAGTACATTCTGACACATGAAGCCCGAGAGTTCTGGAAGGCGGAGCCTTATTACCCTGACTAGCACCGAACCCAAAATTTCACGATATGTTCGAAACGATAGCGTTGTGTTGTTTTCTGGTGGGCTTCCACTAGGAAAGGCTCATCTTGAAACAATGCAATTAAAATCCAAAATAAAAGCAACCAAACAATGCAAAAAAAGGCTAGGTTGATGCCAATGCAATCCAAAAAATATGCTCACCAAAGTGCAAAACAATGGCTAGATTGATCCACTGCCACAAAAAAGGAAGCGCGGACTCCCTCGCGCTCTCCTTCTCTCTCTCTCTCTCTTTCTTCTCTCTTTGTTTCTTGATTTTTATTATCTTTTCGATCTGTCCGTTGGTAAAGGTCAATTGAGACAGAGAGAAACCGGTGGTTTGATACGGTGGCGTTGTGGGGCGACTGTGCCATCCGGGATCTGGCTGGTGTGTGGGTGTTTGAGGTGGGCAGGTAGGGGCCGGGACGGGGGGCAGGTGGGGAAGGGCTTGGCCTGGCTGGGCGGCAGGGCGGGGGACAGGTGTGGCGCGTGGGCGGGGGCGGGGTTGGGGACGGGGTGGCGCGGGGACGGGGCTGGCGAGGGGGGGGCGTGACAGGGATTTGAGGATGTCTCGAGTGAAGTGCAAAAAAAGCAAACAACATGCGAAAAACGTGTGAACAAATAAGCGAAAAAAGAGCAACACGAGTGCAAAAACAATGCGCCGAAAGTGTGGGGGGGTTGACCTGCCAAAATTGAAATGCAAAAAAAAGCGAAATCAAAGCGCTGGCTTTCGGATTTCCTTCTTCCATCTTTGTGGACTAGAGGCCCTAGGCCTACCTGGGGTCTACAAGTCTAGAGTCTAGGGTTGAGGTCTTCCTAGCGCGGCTATCGTAAACTCCTAGGTCCTAGACTCAACTAGACTCTATATAGTATATACAGACGGCTCGGCGGCTAGATCAAGATATATTGTATAGTATATCTATGTACAGTATGTATATTTGGACCTAGGAGCATCCATTCTAGCGAGCGCATAACACTTTCCACCATTCAACTAGTGTTACCAAATCACGTGTGGGATTGCTTGTGCTCTTTTCATCCCAGTGGGTTAAGATTGAACAGCCAATTCTTCTGTTGGTCAGTGGTTGTCACCTCAGAGAGCTTGCACCTGAGGTTGCATGTTTTTTTTTGCATTTTGTTAGGCAGTGCAACAATCCTGATGCTCTGTTGACACCTCTCCCAACTTGGCCAACATCGCCAGCCGTGCTTCGGTGCGGCAAGCATGCCAGTTCACAAAGGTTTATTACTTCACCAAGTTAAAGTATAGTATGTTGCATAAATTGTCATAAATTAGTCGAAAACGAAATTCACCGACTGCACGCAGTTGCACCACTAGCACCAGTGCACGTCAGAAACCACCACTGCAAAGACCTCCCATGGGAGTGCAGGGCCGCACAAGCACGACACAAATCACATGTTTCAAGCCCCACCCCATTTCCAATCAAACCAAACTAACCAAACCATCCAAAAAACCAACCATCAGTGAATGAGAGCAAAAATGGGAGAACTGTGAATGCTTGGAAGATTTCTCCAAAGGCACACTCAGGTGGCCTGCCAACCAGAGTAATTCAACTACCAAAGCAGTTGGCAAGACCCTTGTCACTGGCGCAAGTCGACCGCGTTGCAGATGCTATACGCCGAGCAACGATCATTCAGCAATTACTGGTTCTACAAGGGCGATCCCGTCTCTTGCTGTTCCATGAATACAATAATAACATAAACCAGTTCCCCTCTGTTTGACACCTGTCAAAGTCTTGCTGATGCAAAAACAACTCCACCTATTCTATAGTCTAGCTGCTAGACAAGCCAAAAATAGTCTCGTGACAAGAAAACAAATGGTGGCTTTTGCACTGACCTGTGGTTAGTCAAAACACCACAAACAAACCGCAAAGCACTTGGAAGGGAAGGGAGGGAACCAAGGTATATTCAGAAGTTGATAAGGCAGAACAATAAAGCTCAAGAAGTAGAAAAACTTAGAGCAAACAAACCCAGCTTGGAATCCTGGACTACATAAGCAGCTCAAGTGGACCTGCAATTAGGGACATCACACAAGGCACTTCTTGAGTGAAGGAGCCTAGTCTCTTGACAGTCATACATCGCTTCCCTTGTCAAACAACTTATCAAAGCGAGTAAACAGGAACCTGAGGCAGTTTCCATCAATGCCGCTGGTGACGTTTTCGTAGTATCCTCAGGGGCCAGTGCATGGGCCAAATGCTTGTTCAATTGCTAATTTCAGAGTCGATTGCAAGCGTCAACAGACAAAATTGGACGAAGAATCATCTAAACCTCTACCTGGACGTAGGATTCTTGGAGGTACGCAGCTGCTCTGATGTAGTCTGAAGCTGCATCGCCAATTCAGTTCACTTTATGAAGGGTGTAAATAATGGGTGGAACCATTGCTTCGGCCTACGCAATACAGCGGAACCTTGCTCAGCCAACGCTCCTGCTGGACACTCTGATCTGCACTGTCCATACGCCGTGAGATGGGTGTTGTTGTTGCAAACCGTGCACTCCTAGCACTGGCAGCCTTGTTCTTCAAAAAGGCCAATGAATGATCGAAACTTTTCTGTATATATTAATTAATACACATATTCCTTGCCTTTCAAAGGTTCCTGATTTGTCTCTTAAATTCGTCTCTTCCCTTTTCTACGTGGTGGCCAAACAAGACCTAGATCGTGTGTGCGTGTCCCAACTCAATGGTTTGCAACTCGTATACATACTATAAAAATATAAATATATATATATAACTTCATAAACTCATTGTACTTGTTGACAAGTCCTCGGCGTTGTTGCACGCATAACAATTCTCGGGACACATTGGGCATGTGCCTCCAACCTAAGACAATGCACTTTGCGAGAAAGTAATACAAATTATATAATACGCTGTATTTTCAGGCTCAACCACTAAAATACAGTCAAATTCCGCTAAGCTGCAACTGCTAGCGCTCCTTTTTGTCGCGATGAGCTGCGTGCTTGAGCCAAGAATTGGCATGCTGCGTAAAAGCATAGCATTGGGTGATGTATTTCAACACCCCCCTCTGCTTTCACTAGCGACGCGTGAATTAGCAGCTGTGATCGGGCTAAGCTATGATGCCAGCATGGATCTTCTTTTAAAGACCACTCTATGGCATATGCTTAGAATGCATGCAGCTCGAATTTAGTATGATCGCCAGCTTCCGGTCGACCACCGCCCATACTGGTCGCGCGTCCACCATTGGCCCTGGTAGTAGGTGTAGTATACCCTCATTGATCGCCATCTTGATGCTCTCGGGCAGCAGCACGAGCTGTGCGGAGAGCTCCCTCTCTTGCATCTCTCACAGGCACCGATTTGGATGTTGTGGTTGATGCTGGCGAGGGAATTGGCGGCGTCTTCGGGGCAGATGGATGCAGCAAGGTAGTCGGTGGGCTCGGAGGAAACTTTGCCGTCGGCATTTGGCGAATGTCGATCGTACCAATCGCATTGACGCCAGCACTTGGTGAGCTTTCTCCCTCTGGCTCAGCGATCGGGGCAACCCTTTGGCTGGGCGCGGCCTTTGGAGGTGTCCGCGGCGCAGCAACGTGCGTTCTGCTAGCCTTGCCGCGACCCTTCGCCGCATTCCTTTCAGTTGCCCGCTCGCTCTGCTCACGCTTGCTTTGCACGAGCTGTTGGGCTACTGGCAGGGAGCTGTCAATGGTCTCGTGAAGCTCTCTCAAGGTAGGCGTCTCGATGATCTCCATGACGCAGGTAAAGGTCAACAAGTTGGTTCCTTTTCCCCGGCTCTTGCGATGATCGCAGAGATCTTGAAATTCCTTGAGGGAATAGAGCTCACGCTTCCAGATGATCACCCAATGGGAGTGTTCAAAGCGTTCCAAGAGCCCTGGATCGCTGCTTGTGATGTCCGCGATGTCTTCGTCAACGTACATCAATTTCGCAAAATCCAGGTCATTGGCGGTCCGCTATCCCACTCAAGATCAACCTGAGCTCGAGTGCGTGGAGGCATGGGAAGATGGCCGTGAGCCACTATGTCACGCAACTGGATGTCGAGCAAGGTAATGTTGCGCGGTCATCCGTTCCACGAACTGCTCGGCGTTCCCATAGCGGTCAGCCATCGATGTATACCCCAGGCCGATGGCTCTCTTCAACTGCTGCAGTTCCGATGTAATCGCCTTCAGGACTGCGATTACCTCGGGCAGATTCCTCGCGGAACTGCTTGCTCTGGCTGCCGATTCTCTCGATGGTATCAGCATCAAGATACTTGTAGCCGAGCTTGTTGAGCAGCTCCTTTCTCTTCGCGAGGACGCCACGCTTCACCTCAGATGTGCCAGTGATGTTCGTATTGCGTGCGGGACACACGATGGTGCCGCTGACAAGGTTTGCACCGCATCCTGGACACATGACTTCTTCAGTCGGGATGTTTTCCCGCTGGACTTCCTGAGGCGGCTCTGGGGTGATGATCTCCACGTCTTCCTCGGCCTCTGGCTCTTCCGCGGCGGGGCGCTCCCTCTTCTGAGTCGGTGCAGGTTCCATCTGCTTCCTGAATGGCTTGCCAAAGGTGCAGTAGTGGGCACTCCCTCGTGGGAGGCTGCCGGCGCCTTTGGAATGACCCTTGTCGCATTGGACCTCGACCAGAGGATGATGTCCTTCTCGGTATCCGGATGTGGACAATATATGCGCTCGAGATATTGTAAGGTGACAAAATGGCACCCGCCTTGGTCGTAAAGCAGATCAGGCCATCGGCTACTGCCTCACGCAGAGCAACAACAACTTCGATCGGATTGAGCCTCCGATTTCCCGGCGCCACTTCATTTTGGCGAATCTGATTTCGAGCCAAGTAGATGTGGGCTCTGCCGGAGTTGCGCCGGGCTCCACCGCCGACCAGCAGGCCGTCTTGCTGAACGCCCTTGATTGCAGCGTGAAACGTCCTCGATGCTCTCCATGACGGGCACGCCAGTGCCGCGAAAATCGGAAAGGTCTCTGCCGGCGTCCTGATGTCTGACGTACAAAACGTCGGCATTGAAAAACAAGTCATTCTCCGAGCGAATGAACACGTTGTTGTGGCCTGTAGCTGCCCTTATCTTCAGTGGCCAGTAAGTCTGGTTGATTCCTGTGGCTCTCTGGTGGCCGGCAATTGCGAGGAACTCGAACCTGTTCTTGTTGTCGAGTTTTGCCATGTGCATCAGGTCCGTCACTTTCATGCGGGCTTCGGGCAACTCAGCGAAGAGTGCACTGACAAACTGGTTCAAGTCAAGGAACCTGTCTTCGTCATGCTCCGAATCCCAATCGTTCGTAGTGATGTGGTTTTGGAAGGTGCCAGATGCCCTCGTCAAATGACTCTTCGTGGCAATCGGTACCACCTTGGTGGAGGGCTAAAGTCCCAACCGCTGATGAGGATGAGCTCGTAGGGATGGCCATCGACTACCACTCCAGGCACGATCTTGCCATGTACATCTTCCACCTCGGTGTACCGATATTCAGCCTGACCAGTCAGGTGATGGTTGGTGATGTACGTCTCGTCGAACTGGCTGTCGATAAGCCTGGTCTCCCACTGCTCCTTGGTGATTCGTCCTGCGCGAGTGTTCTCCTTCTTGGGAGCAGATGATGCTGAGGGCGATGCTTCTGCTTTCGGGCTAGCCTGTGGAGGCTGCACTGACTGTGCGGCTTCGGCCTCCGCTCCAGGCTCCTCTTCATCATCACTTTCTTCCTTCACTGCTGTGCGGGCGATTGCCACTGGTGGAGCGTCATCATCCATCGGCTCTTCTGTCTTGGCGGCCACAGCGATTGGAAGCTCCATGATTTCGTCCTCTTCCATGTACTCGTCGAGGTCTGGCTGTTCACGGCGAACCTCTTCGACGGTCAATGGCCTGGAGGCGGCCTCAATGCGCTTCTTGCTTTCCTCTCTTCGATGGATCACATCAATGACAGCTTGCCTGTACTCTTCGCGCTGGCTGGCGTGAATGGGCTGAGGCTGAGACTTGCGTCTAGCACCTTCAAGTCTCTTGCGCCATTCCGCTGATTGGCGTCGATCATTCCGGGCAAATGGGGCGAGAGGATGGCGGACAGGTGAAGGATGTAAAAGTTGGCATTAAACCAGCTGAGACCCCGTGATTGGTTTTATCACAAAACGTCATGTGATATTGATCCTTCAACTCCATCTGCCACAAGAGCGGATCCAGATCGATGATCACGACATCCGGTTCCGCAAAGGTCTCTCGGAACCAGTGCTTGATGTCCTTGCCGAAGTGCGTATAGATGTTGTGCAAATCATAAATGTTTGCGTTTGGGATGCACGACAAGGCTAGGACATTGCATCCAGCTTTCCGACCCTGCTCGACATACCAGGTCAAATGCCTTTTCGTATCGGCTTGGATATCGGCTTTTCGTATCAAATGCACATTTGATAGGGTCGCCCTTTGCCTCTGCGTAGGGATATCGGTTGGTAGACACGATCCCATTCTCGCCCACGAGCTCGTTGCCAGCCCTCACCACATTCACGTAGATTCGAGCATCGGGCACATCTTTGCGGATGGCTCTTGCGCAAATGATGGCGCGCTTGATGAGCGTCCGCAACTCGGCGCCCCAGTGCATCTCGTGGTGAAATTGTAGCGCGCGCCGGCATCGATTGTCATGGAATGCTCGTTCCAAGTCATGACACACACACGAGTCTTCTTTCCGCCTGACACCATTGCCAGTGTACTGTCGCTCGCAAGCACTTGGTACACTGGGCCTGTCACTGCTGACGGCGGGCGGTGATAAGCTAGGCTGCTTCGCTTGGCCTCGATGAATGGGTTCAGGATGCGCTGCACACATTCATAGCTTTCCCGCCAGGTGTCAACCGCGGACTGCGCCGTGTGGTCGTGGGCTAAGCCCAAAGCCATCTCCTGAGCACCCTGATCTTGCCCGACATCGGCAAAGATTGAGCTTGTCAGAAGCCTCTGAAATAGCGTGTCCCATCCACGGAGGATCTCCTTCTGGTGTTCGGAGTAGTGACGCTCCCGCTCAGTCATGATGGGCGCTGCGAGGCAAACGGCTGCTCGAATGGGTTTGGGCCTCGAGGAATCTACGGAACACAAACGGAATGCCTCGTGCAACGTGTCAGTCAACTCAAATGTGTAGCCTTCAGCAAATTTCAAAGATTTGCCTCTGGACTGTTCATGTGTGTGCCTACCATCGCATGTGAAACTAGCACATTAAGCTGTGGTACATCAGTAGCTATCTTCCATCCTTTCTTCAAAGGCTTGCCACTCAATCCCTTAAGACCGAACTCCGTGGAAGGCGTACTGTTGTAGCTTATAGTCATTGATAAATTTCTGCACGCTGGGCCAAGACCAGTACTTGCAATTCTTTGAGAGCTCGAACGTTACACTTGGCTTGTGCGGGCTAGCGTTTGCAACGCAGCGCTTGAAGCTTTTAAATAGCTTACCGAAGAGTTGCTGCTGCTCCGCGATCCGTTCGCTACCATTTGGCAGATCTTTGTTCACATTCGTCCAGGGACTGCCTCCGGTGCATGGAAGTGACGCGTAGAAGAATACCATTCCATTTGGGTGGCTTTTCTTGAACGCTTCAATCTCCTGGGCTAGCCATTGTCGGCAGCTTTCTGATGTTCCGTCCTCGTTCTCGGTGACGCGGATTACCTTGCAGTTCTTTGCCGGCTCGCGTTGTTCACCTAGCTTGGACGTTGATGAACAGCAGAATTCTACTAACAGGCGAGCTATCGCCCTTCTGATCAATGCCTTCACTTAACACATTTGCTGGGGCGGAGGCTCGCGCCTCGCTTCGGCCAGTGGATTGCACCAATGATGGTCCGATGCCGATGAGCCTCAGCGCGTGCTCCCACTTTGCAGGACTAGTGAAGGGTT